CGGGACGTTTAAATATCATGATATAGTTAATCAGTTACGCTTATTAAAATGGTAATTTATGTAACTTTTAAATACACCTATCAATGTTTATGGATTTGAGAAGAGAAAAATTGTGTGACGTGTATTATTAAAAAATAACACGTATTACAAAGAAGTGGCTAAAATATGTGTGTTATATCTTTTCCAAACAACCCATCTTAACTTCTCAAGATTTTAAAAAAAAACTTAATTATTTAAAATCTATTTATTTGACTAATTTTTTTCTGTTTGCATCTAAGGCAAATCGGATAAAGGATATAATCAGGTATATTGAACACTAAAAATGTATTATCACCTGCTCTGATATTTTTTTTCTAAATGATAATTAATCTCGATTTTCGTGTTATGTAATTTCTTTTGTTTTTAAATGAACTATTTCAACAGCAATTAAGTTGACTTTTCATTTCAATTTTGCTAAAAGATATATTTCCACAAGTCATCTTCTTTAAAGAAATGATCTCAGTGTCAGGTCTGTGATCGTAAATTCTAAAACAAGTATCTTTTCCATGCCATCTTAATTTGACATTTCTGTCGCTTTCACTTTCTCTGCTGTCACAATAAGTAAACCCCAGCAAAAATGAGCCAATCAATGGGCATGCTCTGGAGTGCGGGTTACTAATAACTGCACTATAGTCAACGCACTGTACATGTATACGATTTATTTATTTGTTTGTTTGGGGTTTTACGTCACATCGACACAATATAGGTCATATCGCGACGTTCCAGCTTTACTGGTGGAGGAAGACCTCAGGTGACCTTCCGTACATTATTTCAGGCATGAATGGGTACCTGAGTAGAACAACCGACGTTCTGTAAGCTAGCTGGATAGCTTCCTCACATGAAAGAATCCAAAGTCCCTTTTGGGATTCGAACCCACAGCGGTAAGGGGCAAGTGGTTTGAAGTCATTGACCTCAACAGTTCCAAATACATTTACTTAGTAAGATGAAGTTCCCAATATCAGTACATTGTACAATAAAAGCAAACCTTAAGACCCTGGGTGTTTGTAGAAATTTAAAATGATAAGATATGTAAATATAAGGTGAAATAAGTAAGTGAAATAAGTAGGTGAAATATGTGATGATTTCTTTAATTCCAGGTCTTACTTCCAGCAAGGAAATAAAAGCTGACAAGCTGGACAGTCAACTAAAATGACACATACATGTTTTATTTGTGAAAAAACATTAACTCGACGAAGTTCTCTGAAAACACATATGACAATTCATACTGGTGAGAAGAATCATGTATGTAGAATTTGTGATAAAGCATTTTCAAAACGGCATAATCTTATCGAACATATGGCAATGCATACTGGAGAGAAGAATCATATATGTAACATATGTGGTAAAGCATTTTCTCATCGGAGTAATTTGAACAAACATATGAGAATACATACTGGCGAGAAGAATCATCAATGTGAAATATGTGTTAAAGCATTTTCTCAAAAAAGTCATTTAATTAGACATATGACAATACACACTGGCGACAATAGGCATTTATGTAATTTTTGTGGTAAAGCATTTACTAACAGTTATTCTCTGAAAAAACATACGACAATACATACTGGTGAAAAGAGTTGTGAAAAAGTTTCAAGTGTGTGAAAAAAACATTTCCTTATCAAACTAATTTGGTCTTGCATATGTCAATACATACCGGTGAGACTAAGAATCATGTATGTAAAATTTGTGATAAAACTTTCTCTCAACGAAGTTCTTTGATCAGGCATATGACAATACACACTGGCGAGAAGAATAATATGTGTAAAATATGTGATAAAACTTTTTTTTATCGAATTAATTTGGTCTCGCATATGACAATTTATACTGGCGAGAAGAATCATGTATATAAAATTTGTGATAAAGCATTTTCTCAACAAAGTTCTTTGATCACGCATATGACAATACATACTGGTGAGAAAAATCATAGATGTGACATGAAATAGAGCATTTCCTCATCGAAATAATTCGATCACGCATATGACAATACACACTGGCAAGAATTATAATATATGTAAAATATTTGATGAAACTTTTTTCTAATAGAATTTGTATGACAAAACATACTGACGAGAAAAAACACAAATAAATGTAAAATATGTGATAAAACATTTTCTCATCGAAGTAAATTGATCACACATATGACAATACACATTGGCGAGATGAATCATTAATATAAAATATGTTTTACAGCATTTCCTCAATGACGATATTTTTTCAAACATATGACAACACATGCAAGGAAGAACAGTCATAAATGTAAAGTATGTGGTAAAACATTTTTCGACGAGGTAATTTAATCATTCATATGACAATACACACTGGCGACCAGAATTATAGATGTGACATGTGTGATAAAGCATTTTCACACCAAAGTTCTTACACATGAAAATAAACATTGGTTAGAAAAATCTTCAATGAAGCATTTTCTGAAAGAATTAATCCTCTCAGTCATATGACAATACACATTGGTGAAAAAAAACATCATTGTGAGTAATGTGATAAAACATTTTCTGAACAAGGCTAACTGATGAGACACAGTGACATTACTTAACACATCGGCGAGAAGAAACTTGAGTGCAAACATATGACAATACACACTCGCAAGAAGAAGTGTGAAGTGTGTTATAAAGTAATTTATACAAAAGTTCACTGAAGGCACATGTGATCACACACATTGGCAAAATGAAATGAATAAGGAATGTGATGATATATTTTCTCATTTTTTCTTTTCACATACATGGCAAAACATACTAGGGAGAAGAAACACAGATGTGAAAAGTGTTATAAAGTGATTTCTACACAACATATATAGCGTTATCAAACATAAGGCAAGAAAAAATGTGAGATTTACATTTTCTAACATATGACATTACACACAAGTCATCAAATATAAGTGTTAATTTAGTAACCATTCAGAATTTTTTCCCCAAAGAAGTAGTGTAATCACACACTCACTCACATATAGACAATTAATATACGTATCTTGCAATAATTATTTCACTAATATTTGATCTTCAAACACAATTACAACTTATGAAATTATAAATGTGGATAATGCAAAAAAGCTGATCAATTACATTTACCTTCTTTTTACTTTCTTACAACATTTGACAATGCCCAACGTTTAATTTTTGCTGTGACATAATATTCAAAGTTATTAAATAACATATTGCAATACATATTTAAAATTTCTGTTAAATTGTTGTTGAATGATTATGTGTATTTTGTATGTATATTGATACTGTTATGTATTTTGATGTATTATGTTTAAGTCAATTTTTTTTCTGTACTGGAACCTTTTATAATAAAAATATAAGACTTTTTACAGCCGCAACACTAATCAGAAAATATCTTTATAGACATATGGCTAAATTAAGGCTCTCATTCAACGTCTTAATACATACATTTATTATTCTAATTTATCCATTTTCTCTGAAAGTCATGTGAACTGTTGACCAAATTGTAGAGTTCTATATTGGTATAGACACTTAATATTAATTGTATCTATGACTCTTAAACCATATCTTACATTTAATGAAATTATATATTCTAAGGGACTAATTATAAAGTTTATAGCTACATGTATACATCACCATCCATTATTTGATGTCTACATTCAAATTTGTGTTGATGACAAACTCCGAATTTAGACCACTGTAAGTGTAAATAAAGATCACTCTTTTCGCAAAGCTTAATTGTTAAAAAATAAACCTAGTAAGCTTGGAATAAAAGACAATTTGTCTTTTAAGACATTGTATAGTCTCACCAGTCACAAATGGATGGGTTTTGTTGATAGACTTAAGGTTTGATTGTTTAATCACTCATATCCCTTGTTTATACACACACACACAATGAGCTTGATTGATTCATATAAAGCCATTATTATAATGATCAGTTACATTTAAATAAAAATAACCAAATCAGGCCCGTCATCACGATTTTATGATTCTAATTCGTGCAGCCATTTGGATTGGTTCTAGGGAGGTAATGGTTATACTGGCATATGTCAATTTTTTTACTAAGACTGGGGCACCATGAACTTGTTTAAAGGGTAAAAAGGTTATCAACAGATCGCATAACGAAAAGAGAGTTGTGGATGCAAGAACAGTAGTAGGTAGATTGTGTTCAGCCAATCAATGGTTGACCATATGTAGTTAAAATTTACATACTAGTAACCAGTTTAATTAAGCATACATATACTGACAGCTCAGAGTCTCATTTTACATGTATGCTATTTATAAGTGACATGGTGAGCTTTTGTGATCGCTCATCGTCCGGCTTCCGTCCGTCCGTAAACTTTTATACCACATCTCCTCATAAACGGCTGAGCCAATTTCACCCAAACTTCAAAGGAATGTACCTTTGGTAGTCATTTCAAAAATTGTTCCCAAGCAGAACTCTGGTTGCCAATCAAATAAAACAAACTTAAAATATCTTAGTTTAGAAAACCGAAAGAGTAAGAGCTTAAATATTTGGCTTGTCTACTAAATTTGCTCAATTAATGATCCTTGGGTCAAAATTGGCCCCGCCATGGGGGTCGTCGATTTTCCTTATTTTGTATGTAGTAAAAACTTAAAAACCTTCTTTTAAAAAGTGCAAATAGCTAGAAATTAGATATTAAGCATGAAACATCCTCTAGTGAGTGTCTACCAAGTTTGTTCAAATAAAAGCCCTGGGGTTAAAATTAGCTCCGCCCAATGGTTTATGTATATAGTAAAAACTTGAAAAATCTTCTTTTAAAAAACCCAAATTGCTAGAGCTTAGATATTAAGCATGGAACATCTTCTAGTGGGTGTCTACCAAGTTTGTTCAAATAAGGCCCTTGGAATAAAATTTGCCCCGCCCCGGGGGCCTATATACAGTTGAGCGATTTCAAGGCCATCTGATGGCCCTCTTGTTTTAAAAAAAACACATCGCCGTCATTTTCTGGTAGTAACGAACTCCCTTCTGCCTTAAGCCCTTAACCTAACCACACAAGTTGAGTTAAACAACCCTGTACCTTGTAACAAAATTTACTGAAAGATTGTTCAAGCGTACCTCAGACACTGTCAATTGCAGGCTGGTCGGTATTCTTCTCAGAGACGAAAATGTTATTAGTGGCCTCTATCCCTCACAATATCTTTAACACTCCGGTATCAATGCCAATAATGATAACTTCACGGATGACTTCGTAGTACCCATATATGCACCTGGTCAGTTATCAGTGTCCAGTTGTTATTTCAGCATCATGTACATATATATTGCCTCACATTGCATAAGGAATCTAAGTTAAAGTTAATTGCTATGGCCAGACACTTTTATCAAAATAATGGTCAGGCCATAGCCGAATCGTCAATGATGACCTTGGCAGGGGAATGATTTAATTATTATACCCCCGAAACTAAGTCCAGCGGTCTGTTGCATTTTCTTTGTCTGGAGCATAACTTGAAGACTAATGGTTGGAATTCACGGTATCACGGTAATTTAAGATCTGCGCGTGTAATTATATATCTTAAAAGATATATACAAGTTTCTATATACCTGGACTCCTGTTAATAACCATGCATATTAACCCTTTCCCCGATGAGCATATTGTGAAAAATGGCCGTTTTCACTGAAAAGCCTCCTGTTACAAGTTCAAACTGCTATGAAACTATGAAAAATGCTTCAATACTAATCAAACTTGGCACAAATGTTAACTAGACCATTGCCTTTGTAACGACATGCTCAGTCTTAAATTTCCTGTTACCATGGCAACGAGGGGACATCTCAAAATTGCCAAAAATCGCTATTTTGCCTCGATTTTTTCCATCAAAATTTATTTCAAAGTGCTGCAACTGCTCAAGGGATTGAGATAGAGTCAAAGGCTTTTCAGCGTTGGTTAAACGTTACATTATGATTGACCTGGGGTCATTTTTAGCCTCTCACAAGTCCAAAATTTTCTGGGCGATGAGGGGGACTCCGCCCCCCTTCAAACCCCCCTAACAGAAGGGGGCACATCCCCCTTCTGGCAACCCCCTGATGTATCTTTTGGATGGGGGCGGCGCCGAAAAATTGCTCAATTTTTTAAGCAACATTTCTCAAACGAAAACTTATGTTTGGAGCCCAAATAGGACCATTTTTTCACTATTTGAGGCCTAAAAAAAGGGGGGGGGGGTCGAAAGTGCGTTGTTTCGCGTATATATGTGGTGAAGGATTAATAAAAAATGATGAAAAACTTTGGAATCACCTAAAAACTAGTTTTTCCATGTTAGCATGTCGTATTTCACCTAATTGTGGTGAAAAATTGTTGTTTTGTAACATTTATAATTTTTTTAGTTAACAAAAAATGATGAAAAACTTTGGAATCACCTAAAAACTAGTTTTTCCATGTTAGTATGTCGTATTTCACCTAATTGTGGTGAAAAATTGTTGTTTTGTAACATTTATAATATTTTTTTAGTTAATAAATTTAGTGTTGTCCTATAGAAGGAATTTTGGTAAGCTTAATTTGTTGTGAAATGTATTTGAACTAATATTTCTCTTAAAGAGCTCGCTTGGGGTAAATGAAGTAAATATATATACGAGTAAAAAGATAGAGACATAGAATTAATTACATTTCCAAAAGTTTAATTTATATATGATATGAATAAACAGATGGTATAATGAATGAGTTTTACTTCGTCAATACTAAAGATACAAGATACAATTAAGAAACTTTATTTTAAGTTGGTTTATTACAAGAAACATTAGCTAATAGGCTATTTACCGACAAATATAAAACTATTAGCAGCTTTAAGCATGAAATAAGAGTATCAAGGTTAAGAAGAACTTTACAATAAGATGGTAAATTAAGGCATAGATTGATGACATGCACAGTACATATTGTATTAAAGGTAATAACAGTTTCCAAAAGTAATAAATGACTGTAGTCTAGAAATTTAAGTATGATACATATAGCCAAGTGAAATAAATAAAAATAATAATAAAATATAAAAGAATAATGAAATAGTAATAGTTATAAGTTAACATCTACAATTTATAAATACGTAATTGAAGGTTTCCTGAAAAATATATAAATAAATAAATAGATAAATTAAACTTACTTATAAAAGTGCATAAAAATTTATGATAGAACTAATATAGCATATAAAAGAAACAAGATAAAGCACATACAGGGTAACAAAGTTAACTAAAATTAAGTTGCATGCACACCCTAATGAAATGGGGAATAAGGAGTTTGATCATGATCATAATAAACAAAGCATACAAATCATACAACAAAGATTCAACTAGCATAAAATATAGGGTTTAAGAAAAATTAACACACAACATATAATCAAAGCATCATAGCAAACTAAAAAGGGATGCACAAAGGCAAAGCAAACAAACAAAACATGTAGTCTAAGCATTTTACATAAATTAAAACTAAGCAAAATAACAAACACATAGCAAATTTACAACCACATAGCACATTTTCAACTTGGGCCACTCCAGACCTGTATCAGTCTCCAAAACTCTTTGTAGTTTTCAACATTGCGGATGTCATTAGGGAGACTGTTCCATATCTGGGCACCTTCAAACCGAAAAGAATTCTTACCGTATGTTACTGTTTTGACCCTTGGGACATTTTCACATATTTTTGATACCTAAAAGAATAATTGGAATTTTTAAATTGAATTAAATCATTTATATATGGTGGTGATTTTCCCTACAGGCATTTAAACACTTCTTTGGCTTTTATTTTAATTCTTGACAAACATAAAGTAGGCATATTTACTTTTTTTAATAATGTGTCATATGAAGAATTAAAATCATTAAATTCATAAGACAAGATAAATTAAATTATACGATTATTATTCGAGCCTCTGGTGAGCATGATATTTGTTATTCAACAAGTTCAATGTTTTGAACATACACGAATATGATATAACATTTTATCACATACCCGAAATCAAACTCCAAACCTCCAAAAAAGGTACATTTATACAGTGGTACGTTTCCGCCATGGTACGTAACCTCTAAATTTTCTTACATAGTTACTCCTCTTTGGTAATTGATCGTCATTGACCCTGCATAAATTTATCGTAAAACAGTTTGTTCTTATAATAATATCAGGTGAAAGAAGGTTTAATATTTATACAATTAGTTTCATTTGATACAAGCATTTGAATAAAAAACGTATTGTTTATTTTTCTGTGAGTACAAACATTTACAGTAAATGTTACATAATAATATTCGTGGATATATACCAAATGCTTAAGTTTTGGATATTTTATTGTTTACTCTGCAAATGATTATACATGTAGCTGGTATACGAGGTCAGGCATTGTTTTCTTGACCCCCAAATTTCAACATCAACATTCCAGGGCTCCAGATAATTTTTTAGGGCAATGAGTATTTACTCATTGATATTTTTGTGAATGAGTAAAACTTGAAATCTGAAATTTGGCAGGAGTATTTTTACTCCTTAAAATGTATGTAAAGGAGTAAAACATTTATTATGCTTCCATGTTTATTGCATTTTATCCTGTCACTTGTATCAATTTCGGCCCGATAACAAGGTACGTGCCGTATATTTTTACTGATCTACGGCACTTGATCACGTGGTATGCATGTTTACCGGACTACTTTTCAAGAAAAAATACAAAAACTGTCGTTAAATCTTCTGTGTGTAGAATAATGAATTTTGGAAACGTTGATAAAACTTTCTTTGTTTATTTTATTTCACTCTATAATTTTTCAAGCGAAATAAAAATTATTAAAAGTGAAATAAATGTAAAACTTAACTCATTTGCGATATTAAAATAGCGTACTTGATTTTATTGTTTTGCACGTGCTGTTTGGCGCTACATTGTGACGTCACGTAAACAATACTTTAAACGTCTGTACAGCGTTAACGACTGAATAAAAGATATTGGTGTTCGAATTCATTTTCTTAGTTAGACCATTTTCTTTCATTGTAGATAGTTTTCACAACAAAATTCTACAAAAAATTGTTTTTATTTATCACATTTTTTCAAACAAAATGGCGCCCTCCAATGTGAAAATACACAGGGAGATAAATAAGAAAACGGCGAGTGCATTGTTGTAGAATAATGCACGCTTCGGGCCTTCTTTGTTTATATAGAAACATTTCCGATAGTGTGATTAAAGGAAGTTTGCCTAATAAAATTCTTTAAAAAAAACGGTGACAGGATAAATAGAATAATAGATTAGTGCCGTGGATGGAGAAAGTTTATCTGGCTCTGCTCCGGAATTTATTGGGTTCGCCTTCGGCACACCCAATAAATTCATCCGCCTCGCCAGATAAACTTTCTCCATCCACGGCACCAACCTATTATTCTCTATATCATACTTGTAATACAAGATATGTCAAAGTCATTTCTTTTACTTTTTGGACTCCCTTGGTTTATAATCTTGCATTTCCAAACGGCATACGTTTTATCTGAACCTGAGGCATGTTTCTGTTGCTCATACGTGGCTACGCTAATCATCTCATTAATTATAACCTTTGACGATTTTTTTTTTCGCCCGAAAATACGAGTCAATCGTTTTAACTTTTGACAGCGACATTGTACCGGATGTTTATGAAATTGCATTAATTCCACCACCTTACTATACATACGATAACATCCGATGATAGTCGGAACTACAGGAAGTTACCGTTAGATGTTGCAAAGCATACATACGAAGTTAATTCCACCACCATACTATACATACGATAACAACCAATGATGGTCCGAACTACAGGAAGTTACCGGTAGACGCTTGCAAAGCGTTCAGACAAACTTAAAAATAAGATAATTGCCGAGTTTACTTTCGATTACGTTTACGCGAAAGAAATGTTGCTCAATGCGTAACCTGAATTTTGTGTGGGATTTCATACGCTTAATTTTGTTTTGAATGCGTAAACGTGTTATTTCCATGCGTAATTTAGGCGTATACGCATCTTATCTGGAGCCCTGACATTCTTGAAATAGACATTAAAATATTAGATCTAATACCATTTACGAAGGATGAAATAAATTTGTTTACTTAATTTTAGAAGAAACATGCATTTATTGTTGATAAAAAAGTGACTGACAACCACTGAACAAAGAAAATACTACTGGTCAGGGACCATCAACCGGACACTTTTTGAACATTTTTCTATATAAATTTCATAATTTTAAAGCTAAAGGTACGAAAATTTGACACAGTACAGCTAGGTTCTTCTCCTAACTAACAAACTAGTTTGTTTAGTTCTGATTATGTTGACACTTATATCCGAGGCCCGTCAAGGAGGGTATCAAAATTACCTAAATTGTACATACTACAGTACCATATGTCCGGACAGATATGTAATAATATTGATTTAATTCAGATAAAAGCTTTGGTGTTCTTTTTTTTATTTTTAACATGACACACAATATTTCAGCAGCAAATGCTGAAGTTTTGGATATTCTATTGTTTACTTTGCAAATAATTATTGCTGTTATATGAGGTCAGGCATTGCTTTCTTGCCCCCCAAATTTCAAGGTCAACAGTCTTGAACCCAGCAAACACCCGACGTTGACCCAACGTTGGATCAACGTTGAATTTTGGTCGCGACGTCAGTGACCTTCATACAACGTCAAATCGACGTTGAATCCCCGACATTTAACAGACGTTTCATTTTGACGTCGATTGACGTCGGGATTTGGTCGGTAATCTGATAATAGGTAAATTTAATTTTGAAACCAATCTATATATAAATGAAAGCATAAACAGCGAGAATTTTAAGTTTAAGTTTAGAAAGGGAACATTATATATTTATTTTCTCCATCAAAACAACAGTATCACATGGGTGGCTAATGTACGATATTCGATAGGTGGCGCTCTGTAAACGGATAGTCGCAGATCCGTATGAAATATATTTGCTCTATTTTCGTTTAAATAATATCTTATCTCCTCGAATTAGTCTAAGAAGTGTTTATATAATTTACAATGAAGCTGTTATCATTTTTGAGGGCTTCATTTTATAGTGATAAATAATTTAGTAAATTCGAATTTGCATCTTATCGGATTTGTAATTCAATTGTATTGGCGGACAAAAAAAACGACGGGTTGAAAAACAAAGTTGTATATTCCAAACAAAAGAAAAAGGTAGGCAAACATTATATATTGTTTTTCAATGCTAATCTTTTTAAGTAGTTGGAGTGTTTTGTTAGAATTTCGTTTAATTATAATATGTATAAGTGATTTATTTCTTGCACTTGTAACTGATTATTTTAATTTTTTTTAATTTCAGAAAGTGTGATGAGATCTTAGGTTGGAGACGGTAATGATACACTTATAGTATGCCCCATGCAGATCGACATAGTGTAGGAGGACGAAAGAAGCTAGAATACTAATGAAGATACATGAACATTGCTATTTATAGTTATAACAAAATATTCAGAATATTGTTCCATTTAACATTCAGATCTAGATTCAGTTATAAAATACAAAGACAAATATACAACTAGTGAGTTGGATAGATGATTGAAAAATCCCAAACTCAGAGTGATCAGTTCAGTGGTGATATAAGAAAAAACACATGCATGGATGTTTGCTATATAAAATGTCAGTGTTAATATTCAAGAAGGATTTTGTTTATCTTATTTCTAAAACATGCTTAATTAATACATATAGCGTTATTAAAGTACATACCGTCAAGTTTAATAGTTTCAAAAAATATTATGTAAATCTTGCATTAATTTTGTTATAGTACCACATTTCTTGTTTTTGTACTTGTGATTCCGAGTATAAAGTAAATTGCTAAAATCATAAGAATGCTTATTTATTAACCCTATTAAAGAGCTTCAAAATGAAAAAAAATCATATTCCAAAAGTTTTGAATGAGGTTAAATTATTGTCAGAAAATTTGGTCAGATAAGGTTGGTATATGGTCAGATAATAGTCAGAAAAGGTTGGATTATGGTCAGAAAAGGTTGGATAAAGGTCATTTTATGACGTTGTATAGACGTCGGTTTCTGACGTCTAAAAAACTTTCAAATCCAACCTTCTGCCAACGTTTTCCCAACGTCAGGGTCTAACGTCAGTACATACGACGTTGGTACAACGTCTTTTGTTTGCTGGGAAATAGACATTAAAATATTACCATTTACGGAGGTTGAAATAAATTTATTTACTTAATTATAGAAGAAAGATGCATTTATTGTTGATAAAAAAGTGACTGACAACCACAGAACAAAGAAAATTCTAAATCAAGCATTTTCGGGGCCGTCAGGGTTTGGTGGTTGTCCGGTTTTGGTGGTCCCCAACCAGTAAATTAAGCATTTTCGGGATGTTCGGATTTGGTGGTTGTCCTGTTTTGGTGGTCCCCAATCAGTACTGTATATAAGTTTGATTATTTTGAACTAAACATGAATTAATTATCATTTGTGCCTTATAATAACTTAAATCGTTGGCAGTAAACATTTTTGTCTTTTTAACTTTTCCCCTTATATAAGCGTGTTTCGACGGATTTTTGCCCCCCCCTTTTTTTTTGAGGCCGCAAACAGTAAAAAAATGTCCTATTTAGGCCCAAAACACTGTTTTCCGTTTGAGCAATGATGTTAAAATAGTGACCACTTTTTCGGCGCCGTCCCCCATCCAAATATTACATCAAGGATTGTCAGAAGGGGGATGTGCCACCTTCTGTTTGGGGGGTTTGAAGGGGGGCGGAGTCTCCCTCATCGCCAAGAAAATTTTGGACATGTGACAGGCTAAAAATGGCCTCAGGTGGATCTTAGGGTAACTAGTAACCGACGCTGAAAAGCCTTTTACTCTATCTCAATTCATTGAGAATTTGCAGCACTTTGAAATCAGTTTTGATGGAAAAAACAATGCAAAATAGTGATTTTTGGCAATTTTGGGACGTCCCCCAGTTGCCATGGTAACAGGAAATTTACCATTGAGCATGCTGTTACAGAGGCTATGGTGTAGGTAACATTTGTGCCAAATTTCATTAGTATTGAAGCATTTTTCATAGTTTCATAGCAGTTTGAACTTGTTACAGGAGGCTTTTCAATGAAATTTGCCATTTTTCGCACAAACAGGCACCTGAGTAGAACCACTGACGTTCTGTAATCTAGCTGGATAGCTTCCTCACATGAAAGAATCCAAAGTCCCTGTCGGGATTCGAACCCACAGCGGTGAGGGGCAAGTGATTTGAAGTCAACGACCTTAACCGCTCGGCCATGTTTGATTTCAGATTAAAGTTTTGGTGCAGAGCAATACATTTTTGTGTCGCCACTACCGTAGTGACGACATATAGGGATCACTTCTCCGTCGTCTGTCTGTCTGTCCGTCCGTCTGTCACAAAACTTGTCCAGACTACTCCTCATAAACTACTGGTGCAATTTCATCCAAACTTTACAGGAATGATCAGTACCAAGTCTAGTTGAGCATATTGTCGGCATTTTCAGGTTCAATGATTTTTGTTATGGCCCTTTAATATTTTTTAATTTTAAAGTTTGTCCGGACTACTTCTCTTATACCACTAATGCAATTTCAATGAAACTTTACAGGATTGATCTGTAGCTCAAGTCCTTGCGCATATTGCATGGGTTTTCCGGTTGAATGATTTTTGGCCGAGTTATGGCCCTTTGATAAAAAGGTGTTTTTTTCTGTGTGTTGCCAGATACACAAAAGCTTATCCGGACTACTCCTCTTAAACTACACTTTACAGGAATGATCAGTACCAAGTCTAGTTGTGCATATTGTCAGCATTTTCCGGTTCAATGATTTTTGTCCGGACTACTTCTCTTATACCACTAATGCAATTTCATTGAAACTTTACAGGAATGATCTGTAGCTCAAGTCCTTGCTCATATTGCACAGGTTTTCTGGTTGAATGATTTTTGGCCAAGTTATGGCCCTTTGATAAAAAGGTGTTTTTTTTTCTGTGTGTTGCCAGATACGCAAAAGCTTGTCCGGACTACTCCTCATAAACTACTGGTGCAATTTTTATCCAAACTTTACAGGAATGATCAGTACCACGTCTAGTTGTGCACTGTCCGTCTGTCTGTCCGTCTGTCACAAAATTTGTCCCTACATGAAATTGGCCATTAGGGCGACACATATGATTACTGATCGCTCTTGTACTGTATTTTTTTTCTTCAATTCTTAAGATATCAACTTCAAACTCCAAATATGAGTCACATCTTATGTGACAAGGTTCAGAATTATCCATGATTCAGTTAAAATGGAGGGAACTACATGTACATTATCAATTCTAACAGTAAGTACAAATGTAATTTTAACACTTTTTATTTTAGTTTAGTTATAAAAATCTTTTTCATTTTTAAATAATGGCAAGAAATTTTAAATCAGAGATTATAATTTTCCATTCAAAATATAGGTGATTGAAACAGATTCTATATCAAGCAATTAATAGCCAAATTCATATTTTATAAAGTTCATAATAATATGCTTTTAGTGTCTTGTTACTCATATACATATAATATGTTTTTCTCCTCAACAGGAGACACATGGGATGTTTCAACTTAAAGGATTCAGATGAGGGAAAGTGATAAATTACTGTTAATAACAGAATGATTACAGAATTATCCTGGTAATAATTTTGTTTGTTTTGTTGATATAAGTAAAAATAAGAAGTATATTTTAATATAAATGTATGTTATTTTTCAAAACCCTGAACAAAAACTGTTGTTCTTCATGTTTTATGCATATATTATTGTTATAGGACTCCACTTAAACACATCTCAAACTTTAAGTTGTAAGCACTCGTGAAGGATTTAGTGACTTAAAAACTGATATTCTGCAAAAAATCAATGAATTGAAAGTTTTCCATCTAAATTTTTTTACCCTTTCATGCTATTTGTGTCGTCTTGAAAAAGGCGACATATAGGGGTTACTTTTGTCGCGGTGTTGGCGGGGTTTTTGTCAGCTTCTGTATCAGCGTCTTCGTCCTCGCTTGTCCGGAGCATAAGTCAGTCATTATAAGTCGGATTGACTTCAAATTTGATATGCATGCTTCTTATAATGACTCGAAGTGCAGTGCACAAGAACCCATACTCTGCACTTTATTGCCCTTTGTTAATTTTCATACTTTATGTTTATCTGGGCCATTTCTCCTAATGTATCAATGCTACGGACTTGAAATTTCATAGGATGATAGATCTCATTAAGAAGAAGTGCAGTGCACAAGAACTGGTACTCTGCATTTCTTATTTTTTGAGTTATTGCTCTTTGTTTATTTTCATACTTTATTTTTGTCCAGGCCATTTCTCCTAAAGAATAAAAGCTATGAACATGAAACTTCATAGGATGATTGATCTCATTTAGAAGAAGTGTAGTGCACAAGGATCGGTATTCTCCATTTCTTATTTTTTTAGTTATTGCCCTTTGTTTGTTGTGCACTGTGCAGGGTGTCAAGTTTCCTATAAATTCCTACATATTCCTATATTTTGGAGTAATTCCTATAAATTTCTATATTTCCATGAAAATCCCTATATATTTCTGTGAAATTCCTATAAATTCCTATATTTAAGGGTAAGCATGAAAATTATGGATTATGGAGCAAAACCTTGGCAGTAATGTATATACAAGCAGTTTGTGTCATCTGTTTGTATATGTGCAACATTTAGTTCAAAATCCATCTTTCTTTCAAGTGTAGCGACGCTGCCCAGCCCAGCTAGTCCAGTTTACTTTTTGGATTTGATTGAGGGAACTCAAACATTCTTGCAGGTGAAGCTGTCCTATATTTTAACAAGAATTCTGTTCAGGTTGAGATATTCTATGCTCAAATTTGATATAAGAAAATATTTATAATTGCTGCACAGTCTCTTTATAAATATAAAATAAACATGTTTTGACTTCACACAAAGTAGATATGCGATATTTAAAATTCTTCACACTATAGGTTTTTTTTTTAAAGAAAAGGTCAACTTTACTTGACCTATTAAATAGATAGCAGCTTCCTGTACATGGTTCATTCATTTTTTATTTAAGTTAAAATTTCATGGATTTCAATAAATTTCTGTGATTAAAATATTTTACTCAAGGATGAGCATAGTATATCATTAACAATGGTAAACATGCCTATGGATAAAACAAAGTTTCAGGAACGGTGGTTAACTGAAATTAATTCAAATGGACAAAAGTTACAGTAATGGTGTGTTAAAGGTAGTTCAGATCATATTGTAAGGTGTACCCTTTGTAAGACAGAAATCAAATGTGACAATAGTGTACTGTGTAATTAATTAAATACTTCACCATGCCAAATGGTCACAACACAAGAAATTAAGTGAGTAAATTCTTTCAAATAAACAGACTAAACTAACATTCAAAGTACATCCTAGTGCATCTTCAAACACAGCAGAGGGTGAAAGTTCAGGTCAGGAATCTCAGGTACTGCTGTTGGTTCACCAAAACTAACTTATGCTTTACCTATTGAAGATGTATTACATGCCAAAGTCATTTGGGGAATGAAGTGTGCCACATTCATCTCATTCCAAGAAGCAGAAGCGTGATTAATTTAGTAGCATTTGACCTTTTACGGTTGCAACACAAAACATTTTAATCAAACAGGTTGTCAAATGTATGTTACTGTAGGCCAATGTAGTTAGTATTCCTGGTTAAATAATTATAAGCTTAACAGTTACTATGATTATTTTTAGTATATATATTATCATATGAATGGACACAGATACAAAACATTACCTAGTGCTGTATTTACTGGTTAATGTTAGTTTTCCAAGTATATCATTTTGTTAATTGTCATAATTTTATTGAAATGTTGAAAGTTGTAATACCTGTTCTAAATTGAAAATGAAAGGTGAGTTAAGTGAGTGGAGGAGGAGGTTTTTAAGTTCAGAAGTTCTTTGTTTTTCTTGTCCTATATATTCCTATATTTCTGGGAAAATGGTCCTATATTTCAGAGGTAAGTCCTATATTTTTTGGACCAAAATTCACTTGACGCCCTGACTGTGCATGTATATGTATACGCTTTAGCCCTGACACTTTTCAACAGAGAGGTTCCCAAACTATGATACAATGTACAATTAATTCATTTTTTTTTTCAGTATCCATAAGAGAAGTCAAAAAGATGCTGCATCATGTGAAGTGAAGGATACATGTGTACTAGATGGATGTTTAAATTATATTTGTGTGCAAAAACACTTGGACTTTGAAATAATTGTGAAATTTGCAAATTACTATAAGTGATTGAGTGCTTTTCGGAATGTTCTGATTTAAAGCACATACACAAATTAAAAGGGCATTTGATTTTAGTATGAAGCTATCTTTTCACAAATCCCAAAATGTACCAGAGTATTTCTATAGTAATTCCAGAATATTCCACAGTGAGATCCACAGTAATTCCAGAATTAGTTCAAGGCTAAAGGAATCTTACTCGAGTTCATGTTTTTAACAGCGGAACATTTTCCAGAGTGGCTCTGGAACATTTTACAAAGTAACTCTGGAACTTTTTTTCCAAAGTATTATGTCATTTTAGGAGAACAATTTCCAGAGTTGCTTTGAAAACTCTGGACTATTTTCAAGTAAAAGTCTGGAAAAGTTTCGTGAAAGAACCCGAGAAATTCATTGAGAAAGTCTATGAAATTTCATGATTTTTTTTGCGTTTTCTCTGAATGACTTCGGAAAACTAGTCATAATTTTCCAGTGTTGGCAGTTTCCATAAAAATTCCGGAAGTTTTCATGGATATTGTACAGACGGGGTAGTTTATGCCTGTCAAACCCAATGTCTAATAGCCATAATGCTCATAAAAGCATAGAATCATAAAAATGTCTATTGTCTTGCCTTTCAAACTTTATTTAAAAGTTTATCAAATTTTCTTTCAGTATCATGCTCAATCATTAATAAATTCTCTCAAATAATGTCGTTATCGGTAAAGCGCTTTACAGATTTGTTCCAAATTTTTAGCTCACCTGTCACAAAGTGACAGGGTGAGCTTTTGTGATCGCTTTTCGTCCGGCGTTCGTCCGTCGTCCGTCCGTCGTCCGTCCGTAAACTTTTACTATAAATGACATCTCCTCATAAACCACTAAGCCAATTTCATCCAAACTTCACAGGAATGTTCCTTTGGTGGTCACCTTTAAAAATTGTTCAAAGAATTTAATTCCATGCAGAACTCTGGTTGCCAAAAGAAAAAACTTTAAATATCTTCTTTTCAAAAACCATAAAAGGTAGAGCTTAGATATTTGGCATGAAACATCTTCTAGTGAGTGTCTACCAAGTTTGTTCAAATAAAAGCCCTGGGGTCAAAATTGGCCCCGCCCCGGGGGGTCATTGATTTTCCCTATATGCATATAGTAAAAACTTAAAAAATCTTCTTTTAAAGATCCAAAAGAGTTAGAGCTAAGATATTTAGCATGAAACATCTTTTAGTGACTGTCTACCAAGTTTGTTCAAATAAAAGCCCTGGGGTATAAATTGGTCCCTCCCCGGGGGGTCATTGATTTTCCCTATATGCATATAGTAAAAACTTAAAAAATCTTCTTTTAAAGAAATCAAAGAGCTATGGCTAAGATATTTAGCATCAAACATGTTCTAATAGGTGTCTACCAAGTTTGTTCAAATAAAAGCCCTGGGGTCAAAATTGGCACCGCCCCGGGGGTCATTGATTTTCCTTATATGTGTATAGCAAAAACTTAAAAAATCTTCTTTGAAAAAACCCAAATAGCTAGAGTTAAGATATTAAGCATGAAACATCTTTTAGTGAGTGTCTGCAAAGTTTGTTCAAATAAAAGACCTGGGGTCAAAATTGACCCCGCCCCGGGGGTCATTGATTTTCCTTATGTGTGTATAGCAAAAACTTAAAATCTTCTTTGAAAAAACCCAAATAGCTAGAGTTTAGATATTAAGCATGAAACATCTTCTAGTAAGTGTCTACAAAGTTTGTTCAAATAAAAGCCCTGGGGTCAAAACTGGCCCGGCCCAAGGGGTGTCATTGTTTTTAACAATATGTGTATAGTAAAAACTTAAAAAAAATCTTCTTTTAAAAAGCCCAATGAGCTAGAGCTTAGATGTTTAGCATGAAACATCTTATGGGTGTCTACCAAGATTGTGCAAATAAAAGCCCTTGGGTTAAATTGGCCCTGCAACGTTGGGGGGGGGGGGGATTGGGGGTGAGGGGGCCTATATACAGGTGAGCGACCTCAGGGCCATCATGGCCCTCTTGTTTAACGGAAAAATATCATCTTAATGTACAAATATTCGTTCAAAAATATTTTGTTTGAGACTTTAGACTCATTTAAATGCTGAATTTGCCAATCAGATTTGCACACTGTTTGGCAGCCATTTGTTTATCAGCTGAATAAGGATTTTAATTAAATAAGAAGAGTACATCATGATTAACGGATGTGACAGTTTAATAATTTTGTTAAAAAGAATTCATTTTTTTTACTTATGTTCATAAAAAGGTCAAAATTAAAGTAAATATATACTTTTTTTCTGTTCCGCAAGAAAATCAGGTGCTATGAGTCTTTGAGCAAAATGACGTTGCTTTGCCTAAAAGCAAAAATATCTCAAAGCGACGTCATATTTATATGACTAAATTTACCGTTGCTGATGTAACTTTTTTAAGACAAGTTTTTTTCACAAATTTCTTTGCTGCACCGGGAATTATTATTAAACAGGTCATTGATATTTTTAGCGTCTTGAAATTTTATTCAAACATGATGAATTAAGGTGATGAAATATATCTCAGTATTCTCAGACAACTTGATTTTTATTCAGCCAGGACCGAGGACAGCTGGATTTTCATACAGACTGATTATTAATTGCATTGTATAAACAACCTGTTAATCTGTTATCACATGCACTGATTGACGTCCGCTTTGTTTATTGATTAATCTTCAAGAATTTGAATACGATTCTGCAAGTGTTATACGAAATTGTAAACTACTGAACAATAGGGATTGGAAAAATCGGCGGTTACTTTAATGGTTCAAATTGTTACAGAACTATAAACAAGGCTTCAATACTGTTCAAGCTTGGCGCAAATGTTGACTGCACCATAGCCTTTGTAACAGCATGCTCAATCTCAGATTTTCTGCTACCATGGCAATGAGTGGACATATCAAAATTGCCCAAAATCACTATTTTGTATTAATTTTACCACAAAATCTGAGAGTAAGTAGCATGTTGCCCCTAGGTAGACCTAAGTTAAAAATTTTCTTTGAGATGTGGGGGTCTGTCAACGTCTTCAAACCCAAAACAGACGGGGGAACATCCCCTCCTTGGCACTCCTTTGATGTACATAGTGGGTGGCGCTGGTAAAATACAAGTAATAGTATTTTTAACACAATTTCTTAAACAAATGCAAGTGTTTGGGGTCTGAATAGGGCATTTTTTTTCTTATTTGAGTCCTCAAAGTGGGTGAAATGGCGTGAACATATGTCTATCATGAAGTAATGGGTAAAAATTTGTAAGTATAAGGTGAATTATGTAAGTGAAATAATTATAATGATTACTTTAATTCCAGGTCTTACTTCCAGCAAGGAAATAAAAGCTGACAGTATGGACAGTAAAGACACATTTTGTGAGAAGTTATCACCTGAATTACAAAATAGTGGTGTTCAAAGAAATAAGATGCTCAGTCCGTGTAAAATGACACATAGATGTTATATTTGTGATAAAACATTTACTCAACAAAGTTCTCTGAATACACATATGACAATACATACTGGCAAGAAGAAACATGGATGTAAAATTTGTGACAAAGCATTTTCCAAACAATGCTATTTGATCACACATATGTCAATACATACTGGCAAGAAAAATCATAAATGTAGTATTTGTGATAAAACATTTTCTAAACAAAGTTCTGTGAATAGACATATGAGAATACATACTGGCGAAAAGAATCATGTATGTGACATATGTGATAAAGCATTTTCTCGACGAAGTCATTTGATCAGGCATATGACAATACATACTGGCGACAAGAATCATAGATGTGACATATGTGATAAAGCATTTTCACGACGAAGTCATTTGAAAACGCATATAACAATACACACTGGCGACAAGAATCATAGATGTGACATATGTGATAAAGCATTTTCTCAACGAAGTAATTTGACCACACATATGACAGTACACACTGGCGACAAGAATCATAGATGTGACATATGTGATAAAGCATTCTCACAACGAAGTAATTTGACCACACATATGTCAATACACACTGGCGACAAGAATCATAAATGTGACATATGTGATAAAGCATTTTCTCAACAAAGTAATTTGACCACACATATGTCAATACACACTGGCGACAAGAACCATAGATGTGACATATGTGATAAAGCATTTTCTCATCAAAGTAATTTGATAACGCATAAGAAAATACATACTGGTGAGAAGAATCATATTTGTAAAATGTGTGACAAAGCATTTTCTCATCGACAATATCTTATCAAACATATGACAACACATACTGGCGAGAAAAATAAAAAGTGTAACATATGTGATAAATTATTTTCTCAAAGTTATTTGATTACACACATGACAGTACACACTGGAGATAAGAATCATAGTTGTGACATATGTGATAAAGCATTTACTCAACGCAGTAATTTGATCAAGCATATGACTATACACACTGGCGAGAAGAATCATAGATGTGACATTTGTGATAAAGCATTTTCTCGCCAACATTCTTTGAGTGCCCACATGAAAATACACACTGGCGAGAAGAATCATCAATGTAAAATGTGTTATAAAACATTTTCTCAAAGAAGTAATTTGATTACGCATATGACAACACACACTGGCGAGAAGAATCATCAGTGTAAAATGTGTGATAAAACATTTTCTTATCAAAGTCATCTTATCAGGCATATGACAATACACACTGGTGAGAAGAATCATCAATGTACAATGTGTTATAAAACATTTTCTGATCGAAGTCATCTTATCAGGCATATGACGATACACACTGGCAAGAAGAATCATCAATGTAAAACGGACAAATTAATATAAGGCATTTGACAACTCACGCTGGTGAGAAGAATCATAATTGTGAAGTGTATGATAAAGCGTTTTGTATAGAGGTCATTTTATTGAACATGTGACAAAAACCATGAATGTGATATATTTGATAAGGCATTTTCTACACAATGTACTCTTATAAGACATATCAAAATGCACACTGGCGAGAAGAATCATAAGTGTGAAGTGTGTAATAAAGTATTTTATCACAAAAGTTCACTGAAGGCACATGTGATCACACACATTGGCAAAATGAAATGTGTTTAGGTATTTTCTCATTTTTTCTTTCACATATACATGGCAACTAATAAGATTATAATTTGGATAATGCAAAACAGCCGATCAATTACATCTAACTTCTTTTAACTTTCTAACAACATTTGACAATGCCAAACGTTTAATTTTTGCTGTGACATAGTATTCAAAGTTATTAAATAACGTATTTTAAATTTCTGTTTAATTGCTGTTGAATGTGTATTTTGTATGTATATTGATACTGTTATGTATTTTGATGTGTTATGTTCAAGCCAATTTTTTTTCTGTACTATAACTTTATTCTTCTATAATTAAAGGATAAGAATTATATAGCACAAGTTTTAATAGCCGCTACACTAATCAGAAAGTATCTTTACAGACATATGGCTAAATTAAGGCTCACATTCCAACATACATGTAGCTACCATGCAAAATTAAATCGAGGCCGGAAATCAGTTAGGTTTTCTACGATATGCATTGTTCTATTTCCAGTACATGACGGTAACAATTCAGAAATTACATTAAGTGGTTGGAAAAAGAACAGTTCTTATTGATTATTTATCATTTAGCCATGCAATACTATACAATTATTGACAAGTGTGCCATTGAATATGATGTTATATGACAAATATACCAAGGCGATAGCCGAGATCAATAATTATATGACTTTCTGCCGGTGAATATCACATTATATTCAATGGCACACTAGTCAATTATTGTTCTATTATATGAATAGGCTATAAGAATTAAAAGAAATCACAATTTTTTTTTAATTTATACATGTACAACTTTTTCCTATTTCGTTAAAGCGCGGGAAAAAAGACGCTCGTGTAAGACGTGCAACAACTACGCGAACGCTGTGCATACAAAAGTAATGGAAGTTTCTACTCATCATTGCGGTGTAACTTTTAACTGTAATTGTAAAGTTATGATATTTTAATCCAGAAATATACCAAAAAGAACAAAATGCAACAATTATTTTTTTGATAAGCATGCTTAACAGTCTACGAATCGATATATAGATCTAGTCATTGAATAAGAGTCTCAATCTATTTTTAGACTGGGAAAATCCAATTCAGCCAGTGAATATGTTACCACACCCAGTGAATATGATTCTGTAAAAAGTTCTGTGGACTACTGTATAGATTAATAAGATTGCAACTTTATTTAAATCATATAATAATGAAATTTATATTTTGATGAGAAACATTTTGGGGGAGCCTTAATTACTATCAATGCCAATAATGATAACTTCGCGGTTGACTTCGTAGTACCCATATATGCACCTGGTCAGTTATCAGTGTCCAGTTGTCTAGTATCATGTACATATATATTGCCTCACATTGCATAAGGGCCTAAGTTAAATCAGCGACACGTGTTTATCGCTATGGCCAGAAATTCTTTATCAAAATAATGGTCAGGCCATGGTCGAACCGTCGACGATGACCTTGTCAGAGGAATGATTTATTTTTTTAATTTAAGCTAAGTGACAGAGATGAATTAGTTAAGAAATTTAGAACAAAATGTAACATGACGATTTATATATGTTGTCCTTGGTCAGGTAATTTAATAAATAAGCTGATAAAGTGTAGTTAATAGCCAGCTGAAAGAGCTGCCCCAAAGGGAGTATTATGGTAACGTCAGTACATGCTAAAGTGATGGATTTGAAGATTTTCGCGGAAATATAGAACGTAATAGCAAGCTCGAAGAGCTGGCCCAAAGGGCGTGCTAGCAAAGCAAGCATTACATTAATGCAAGTATCCGCTAATGTGATGGATTTGAAAACTTTCACCGGAAGTACAGCAACATTAAAGGTAATAAGTTTGCCTGCTCTTCTTCGGAGGCGATTTTGGCTCCCTGTCCTATTTTATTTAGAACACGCCAGGTAACCTGCAGTATGATTTATACAAGCACGCCAGAAATTAGTTTTTCTGGTTTCATTTCTCATGGTTCACGTTAAAATAGACATTCCAGTCCTCTTGCCAATTATTCAAATGCGAAGCTTCACGAACTTACCGCGTTCACAATCGTTTGATGATGATTTGTTAGTTTGATTGGGTTTTACATCAAACCGATACAGTATAGATCATATGGCGACGTTCCAGCTTTACTGGTGGGGGAAGACCTCGAGTGCCCTTTTGTTCATTAATGCATGCACAAACGGACACCTGAGTAGAACCACCGATGTTCTGTTAGCTAGCTTGATAGCTTTCTCACACGAAAGAATCCAAAGTCCGTCGGGACTCGAACCCACAGCGGTGAGGGGTAAGTGGTTTTGAGTCAACGACATGGTTTGATGAATTAATAACAAAGTATTTACAATTTCGACTGACTCAAGTATATAGTATACTATTTTGATAAATTACAGTCACAGTGATTTACTTTATACGCTTTTTATCTATAAAATATAAAGAGAAAAAATAGAAATATACGCCATGTCAATATCATCTTCCGGTATGTTCCCGTTTCGCGAATTCCTTTTACCGAAATGTAATTATTAATACGGATATTGGATTTTAAGTGAATTGGTGTTCTCTGACCGGTTGGTTCACTATTTAGATATCATACAATTTATGAAATGGCTGAATGTCGAACCTAAAAAATGTGTGGTACTATTTTAAGTTAGTATATTTTAGTATATTTAAGTATATTCTAATCGTATTTAATGTGTGGTAAAAAGTGAGCAGCCACTGTTAAGGACAGCCACTGTTAAGTGACAAAACTGTCCACTAGTATAACATTGGTCCCCGGACCTCGTCCCTTTATTATTTTTTACATTTGTTTTTCAATGTTCCATTGACGATATAGTGATACTATTTGAAAATATATATATCTACTAATTACTCATGGATCTTGTATGGATATTTGAGTTACAACTTATAATAGGTTTATTTAGCATAACTGATTAAATATCTTCCAGTACCAACAGTAAGACGATCCTTCAGCAATAACATTAATGTATTACCAACATGTTATATGCCAAAGATAAAATATCATTAGTTATGTCTTTTTTGTCAATATTATGTCATACATGCATATATTCACTTTTAATTTCACACTTTCATTGTTTTTTTTTCATGCACATATTTCATTGTCTTCATTTAAATATAATTTAATCGGCAGGCTCTTCTCTAGCAATGGCACTACATGGCTGACAAATGAACGCAATCTCCCGGTCACCTCTCACAGCTGACCTATAGTCGGCGATTGTTATACCTGTAATATAATGTTTTTATTCAGTTGACTACCTAAATTAAATATGTTCTTTTTATTGTAAAATGTACATGTTCGTCATACATTCAATTGCGGCAGTTATATACAACATGAGAAGAGCATGAGCATGAGCATTTATACATCGATATCAATCAGTTAATATCCACTGCAAATATTATTGTACAGATTTTTTATTTAGAAAAAAATAATGAAAAAAAAAATAAATAACACAGATCGAAAGTAGGGACGAGTTGACCAAAAGTAGGGGACGAGTTGACCAAAAAGGTGTCGAGTTGACCAGGGGACGAGTTGACCAGGGGACGAGTTGACCGGATTGCCTGTTAAGTGACCTCAAAATTAAGACATTTTTGTCTATTTAAAGGACGTGTTCCGACCACTTGTCTATAAATTAAAGGACATGTTCAGACCACTTGTCTATAAAGGACGTGCTCTGATCACTTGTCTATAAAGAACGTGTTCGGATCACTTTTCTATAAAGGACATGTTAAGACCACTAGTATATAAAGGACATGTTGGGTCTCTCCATGGGATGGCCTTTGTCAACAGGTATGACTGTTTCATTTATTTTTTCATTTGTTTTTCACTGTTCTCATTGACCGCCATATAGTGACTACTATTTGGCTCAAAATGCATATATTTGGCTACTAATACTCAGTGGATCTTGCATGGAGGTATATTATCACAACTCTATGCTTCAGGATTACCCCTTTCAGGGCATGACTGGTGACATATCCGGGTCCGTACTCAACAGTAGAAGCTACTTTTTGATCCTTCACGGGCGGATGGACCGTAATTATTACTCTCAATGCCTGAGCGGATGGACCAATAGACTACCGACCGAACATTGGCGGTGGCTGAACAGTGCTCTGATAATTTCAATGTGGCATACTGTCGAGACTCGGAGCGAAAACTACCAACACCACCACCACAGTTGTAGCATAGGTGATATAAATATATCTGAGTGACAGTAGAATATTACCTGTTGATAGGATATTTACTCTTTGGCTGAGATGGCTGTTGCCATAAACACGCCATGTCGAACTATTGGCGTTAGCAACGGCATCCATTGTCCACAAGTCTTTGGTGCTTAGCAATCAAAGAAAGGAAGTCAAGTTTATCCTGTTCGCAAAAGGATAGAGAAATGATTTTTTAAAGAAAATTTTCAAAGCAATGAAATTACTCTGAGATATTTTGTTTTATTTTCGTGAAAACCCAGACCCTTATAGAATTGCAGACTTAATTAAACGTTTCAGAAAAAAAAAACACTTTTTTTTCTTTTTCTCGTGAAATCAAATTAGGGAAAAAAATATATACATATATTTCAATATCAAGATTTTGATTAAAAACAATGTTCAGGCAGTATACATATATGTCATTGGCATTGCCCTTTCTTCAAAGGTAAATGCATCCTAATATTTGTGCCGATTAGAGAAAAACATAGGCAAAGCATGCTTAATGTGTGTATAATATATATTAAAGGTACAAAATAATATACTTTATACATGTAGTGATTTACAGTCTACCTAGTTAAAGGGAGATAATAAAAAATGCATATTGGAAAGCTGTAGATTTGTCGTAATTACTTTTGTATAAAAGTCATAGTCATATTTGTTTGTGACACACGAATACCGTGGAGGTTTATCTGGCTGAGTTGGATGTAAACCAACCGTCTCGTGCCATTGACTTAAAGCAATGGCAACAGTTGTGCACTAGTGTTTGGTGCATAGCAATAAACAGAAGCAGGGTCTTTCAAAATGAAAAATACCCTGTCTGAAGGGAGATTATCTTCCCCTTGTTCTTAAAAACATTCATCGAAAATGAAAAAATAATGAAATTTCAAAGAAATAAAACAGTCTTGAGCTATTTTGTATCAAAAAAGTCACTATTTCTTAAAAAAGATAAGCAGTTCACAATGAACAAAGGTCATGTTCTTATGAATTGGTTAAATAGCTGAGATAAAATATCTTCTTG